GTATGTATGTAATGTAATGTACTGTATGTATGTATGTAATGTAATGTAATGTAATGTAATGTAATGTAATGTAATGTAATGTAATGTAATGTAATGTAATGTAATGTAATGTAATGTAATGTAATGTAATGTAATGTAATGTAATGTAATGTAATGTAATGTAATGTAATGTAATGTAATGTAATGTAATGTAATGTAATGTAATGTAATGTAATGTAATGTATGCAATGCAATGCAATGCAATGCAATGCAATGCAATGCAATGCAATGTAATGCATGTATGTATGTATCTATGTATGTATGTATGTATGTATGTATGTATGTATGTAATGTATGTATGTAGGTAGGTATGTATGTATGTATGCAATGTATGTATGTATGTATGTATGTATGTAATGTAAGGTAATGCAATGTACTGTAATGTAATGTAATTTAATTTAATGTAATGTAATGTAATAATGTAATGTAAGGTAATGTAATGTAATGTAATGTAATGTAATGTAATGTATGTATGCATGCATGCATGTGCATGCATGTGCATGTGCATATACATGCGTTTGTGCATGTATTTTCATTTAGCTTCCTGAGGACTCCTATTCTTGCCCTCCCCCGCCATTTGCCCTGGAAAGCATGCGCTGCAACCTCCAGCAACTCATATGTACATATGTATATATACATATATATACAAGCATGCAGATACATGCACACTCCTGCACATCAACATAGACCCCCTAACCCACTCACCTCCCTGCCTGCCTGCTTGCATGCATGCATACATACAGACATACATACATACCACATACATACCTGGCCAATTGCAAGCGTCGCATTACAATGCATTGCAATACATTACAATACATGATATCACGGAACGTTGCATTGCATTGCATTACTTTTCTACCCTGCTTCACATCACATTGCATTGCATTGCATTGCATTGCATTAGTACATACTCCATTGCAGTACATTACATCACAGTCTAGCACGATACATTTTGCTTTTATGTCACATTGTTTGCATTACATAAATTACGCACAGTACGCACATTACACGCATTACATGGATTACATGCAATGCATTGCATTGCATTCATTTCATTACATCGCATTGCATTAAATTACATACAGTACACATTACATATTACATGTAATGTGCGAAATGTGCGATATGTGCGAAGTGTATGACGCCTACGAAAGGTAGGTAATGTAGGTAATGAAGGCAATGCAGATAACGTAGGTACTGGAACGTAATGCTGCAATGTAACATATTGTAGTGCAATGTAGTGTAATGTAATGCAAGGCAATGCAATTTAATGTAATGTAAGGTAATTTAATGTAATGCGATGTATGCAATGTGTGCTTATGTATGGTATTTAATGTATATAATGTATGTGACGTGTGTTAGGTATGTGATGCATGCGAGATATGTGATGTGTGCAATACATGCACATGAATACATATATGCATATACATACACATGCTCATCTATAGTTCTATTTATATATGTGCACATATGTATATTCATATATATATATATATACATTCGTACTTCCGGGTCGATGTTTTTGCGACTCCAGGCTGGAATGGCCTTCACCTTTGCGCCCTGGCAGTTTGGGCTGGGATGTTTTGTCGGGGGGATCCGCTGGTCCCCCCCCCCACCCCCCACCCAGGTGGACCCCGGGGCGTTTCCTGGTTTTCAACATCACCTGCTTGGCGACAGGCAGAAGCAAGAGCTAAGTTCGGGGCTCCTTAGATACAAAATTTGCCACCATTTGAACCATGTTGCTTTTTCCGTACCAACATAAAGAAAAACCACCATTTACAAGTTGCAATGTTCAGGTGTTTTTCATGTAAGGATCCCTAAGTTCCCTGCTAAGTTCAAAACGGAAATGGGTCAAAACGCAAGTGAAATCCCCCGAAAAAGTCTGCGGAAACGAGCTCGAGCTTAACCAGTGGTGATGGTCCTATTGTGATTTCTTATTCCAGTGGATGTTTCCTTTTTTGGGCTGGGAATCTCCCGAACCGATGTGTGTGTGTGTGTGCGTGTGTTTTTTTTTTCCCGGAACCTCCCTAACCCCTACTGCCCTTAGAAGGCAAGCCTTCAGCGCGTGCCAGTGGCACGCTGGTCAAAAAACAAGCCTTTTTTGGTCTGACAGGCGAAGAATAGTTCCCATTCCGCTTGACTGCTATTGGGTTGGATCTTTCGACTTTAACTTTTTGGTTGAAATCAAGTTGGGTTTTCCAGTAAACCCCCCAAAAGTTGACCACTTTTTGCAGGGGGGTCGTTGCAGCAACCAAGTCCGCGCACTTGAGCTTGTCCTTGAGCTTGTCTATATGTCCCTGATCGGTTTCGGCTTCCGTATTTCAGACTCGGACATGCCGGAAGACCCCCAGGGCCCCGGAGGGTTCTCTGGGTGACCTAGGAAACTGGGAAGCTACAGTGAGTATTCTACATGTCGATATCGAATTTGATGTTGTTGTTTTTTGTTAGCATCATAAATGGGTGCAAGATATTGCCGCCCTTTTGACACACTGGTGTGGCTGGGGTGTTATTTGAGGAACAAAAGGAACCAATGTTGCGGTTCCCTTCTAAGACAAAGCTAAATATGCGTGCCTCTGTGGTCAAGGCTCTCGTCACTTTTCCACTTGCCCCAGGACAAAAATCGTGGCTATGCGGTTTTGGGCACAGAACTCTTTCTGGCCATGTCCAACAAATGAAATGCCTCCAATGAATTGGGGGTTGCCTTTTGGTTTCTCACGGACCCAACCCCCAAGACCGATCAGGGACCGGATGGGTTTGGTAGGTCTTAGGTCTTTCGCCTCGGATTTTTGGTTTTTCTCGGCTGAGGAGCACCGGGTGGAGAGACCTTGCAAGGAGCTGCGCTTTGCCCTGACCTTCCCCTATCCTCTGGGCGCCTTTCGAGATTTTTCGGGTGAGGGCGACTGGGGTGTGTCTTTAGAAACACTGTTGGGGAGTTTGGACCATAGGTGTCCTTTTTGGGTTTGGGTAGAAATAGATGGGTTCCACTGGTTTAACCTTGTTTTCTTCCATTTGCCAGGAAAGCCTGTCTATTTTTCTCCAAGAGCTCCTCTTTTTTTTTTTTTCCGTGAAAGCCAACTTCTTGGGCAATCCGCGGATGGTCGTGACAACTGTCTATGAGCTCGGACCCCTTCACCTTGAGGCTTTGATTCCAAGCTCATGACCGGAGTCCCGCTGCATCCCTTAAACAAATTCGGAGCCACATGGGTGGCTTGGCTTATTTTAGGGAATCCTTGCAATGCGGATGAGGCCGGTGTTCCTTTGGTTTTGCTCTAAAAACACTAAAAAGGAGTGGTAGCCTCTAAAGAGACACCCGGATGCATCGAAAATCTTTCTGACCATCGGGACTTTCTGCCAGGCTCAAAGATCCATCCCATGGACTTCAGGGTTCTCCATCGGTTGAACATCCAGTGGGACTGGAATGGAGCAAGTTGGACCCACAAACTCCCAGCAAAACGAATTGAAGAAGTGGTGTTGCACCCAAAGGCTTGAATCCCTCCAGCGATGGACCCCCCCCTTTTTGGCCCTCCCTTTGTAGACCCCTTGTTTTCTGGGAATCCTTTGGTGGTTTTCATTGGCTTCGGGGATTTGACGCCCGAAACCCCCTCATTTTCGGGGTTCAGCTCCATCCTCGCCGCCTTCGCCGCGCTCGGATTGGCTTCGTGGTTTTTCGGTTGCTGAGACTTCCGCCTGGGGGGCTCGGTTTTGGGGGCGTTTTGGTGTCCATCCAACTTTTGGTGCCCAAAAATATGGCCATGGGCTTGTCAAAACCCAAATCGGTCAGCCCCCAGTGAACATCCGATTCAATCCAACCACTAAAATAGGAAGTTCCTAACATGGGTGGGGAATTCACCTATCCCAACCAAAATGGGATCAACCAAAGCGGTTTGGACCACCACAGCCATATTGACGGCCATGGTGAGCTCCGGAGCTGGTTTTCTGAAGCATCCCAACCGGAAAAATTGGGGCCTTTGGACCCGGAAGGCGTTTTTCTTCCAGAAGGCGCCGAAACCGCTTGGGTCCCTCTTTTTTTTCTCCTCCAAGGCTTGAACCGGCCAACTGTCCAATAGACCCCCCCCCCCATTCCTTTTGGGGGGGGGATATGGATGCCCTTGAAACAAGACCTCCCCCCAATAAAAACGAAGAGCACAAACCGCGCATCCATCGAACTTCGCTTGGGGATTTGAACTACTTGCTTCTTGTAGAGAGTAAATGGGATGTCCCACCGGGCAGGGCTCCAAACCGCGTACCCATTGCACTCCAGGCGAGGTTCACACATTTGTTTGGCCAATTTATCACTTCTCTCGCCGCTCGGGGCTCGGGGAAACCACGGGGAGCAAACCAACCTTGGGCTGGGTGGGTGGGTGGGTGGGTGCAACTGGTAAGCCTCCCTACCCAAAACACCCACCTCCAATTTGAAACTGGGAAAGATCGATTTTGACGTAAAAAGGGGTCGGAAGACTGGAGTTTTGGGTAAGCCTTGCCCCTAGCAAAACACCCACCCCTCCTTCCCTGGTAAGCCGGCATAGGTGTCCTTTTGGGGAAAAATGTTGCTGTTTTTTTTTTGGGTAGATGGAAGAACACCCCATCCAAACCGGTGGGGCCCGACTTTTATAACCACACCCACCGAGCAAAAGGACACCGATCAAAAGCTCGCCGGTCTGGGGGAAACCAAGCTTGGGCTCGGCAAGCCTTACCCCTAACAAGGGGAAAAATCGATGGACGTCTCCACGGGGTCGGAAGACTGGGGAATTTCGGGTAAGCCTTGCCCCGAACAAAACACCCCGACCCCCCACCCCCCACCCCCCGGTAAGCCTTACCCCTAACAAAACACCCCCCCCTCCCCCCCCTCCAGTTTGAAACTATTTCGCCCCAAAAGGGCCTGAGATCAACCTGTTGGAATCTAAACATAGACCAAAAGTGGAAACACAAAAGGTGAACAGCTCGGCTTTGGACAAGCGAGTAAAAAACCTGGGAAATACACATGGTTTCTTCCTCTTCGGTCTGCCAGATCTCCTCCCTTTCAGGACTAAGCTGATCAGGAGACCTTGCAACCCCGTGTACTGGTTTTTAGAATTTGCCTCTGAAATTTGACGACTCTGGAAATTTGGAAAACACATGTGTTTCTTTTTTGAAAGGCAAGTTAGGACCTTTCTTGGGAGGGTCACCCAGGCCGCATCTGGTCGCACCTGGCGGAAGTCACGGAGCGGCTGGTGGCCAAAGGCAACTACGTGGCGCGGGAGGTCCTCTGCAGCTCCTTAGGAGGCGGACGGGTGGGGAGGCGGGCATGGTTGATGTGTTTTTTGTTTTGGTGTGTGTTTTCCCCATTTTTGCTTATTGTGGTTTAGTGGTTGAAATCCAACCACTTAACTGCTAACATTTAGATTTCTGCTGCCCTTCCAACGTCAACCAATTGGGGATGCGGCTGCGGGTGGATGCGAAGAGCGTCGATTCTGAATGCCTTGACTAGGTCCTAGTGCCCTTTGACCAACTTTTTTGGTTAGGAGGGTTCCCCTACTAAAATAGACTACAGAAAAAAATCGGGTACCCTTATTCGAACCTCTCAACTGGAGGACCTAGTTGAGACAACTTGTTTGGGAATCAAGGAAATCCATACCAGGAAATCACTTGTTGCTAAAAGGGGTCCATGGCTGCGCCGTTGTAAACAAGACCCAGGAACAAAGTGGTTTGAGCATGTTTGAATAGATTGGGTTCTTCTGTGTCTCCAGGTTGTTCTTTTTGGGCTGCCAGACATAGGGGGGGGTACTCGTTTTAGCCATGGTTCGCGATGTTCAGAAGCGACCCGACTGGGCCGATCTTTTTAGATCCCCTCAAACTTACTTTCTCCGGCTGTTTCCCTTACTGGGCTGTTCAAAGGTAATCCTGAATCCTTACCTTTGGTTGCGCAAGGAACCGGCCGCTTGTCTAATGGCTGCCCTGTGGGGATTATGGAGAATCGGGTTGGCCAACCCTCCATGCTGAACCAGCCTGGCCTTACCTACATGTCCAAGTTGTCATTTTGAGGATGTCACTTGAATGGCTGAACCGCCTGGAACCCCCGAACGGGAGTGCAGAAGATTCGGCTTGTATTTCTGGTACTTGGGCTTCAGGCTTGAGGGGACCCAACGGCCCTTCCCTTTGGCCGGGCGGAAGCATGTTTCGGGTAACATGCTGAATTGGCTGCAAAACGAGGTAGGAGCAGCTCTCAAGAAAATAGGTGGTTGAGATCACAAACACCTGCGGCGTTGGAAAACAAGGTCAATCAATGAGTCCAAACGGGTGCAAGTTGGAGAACGAGGTGGGAACACCCGACCATTCAACCATGTCATGGAGCAAACAACTGCCGTAGCTCAAATGCCTTTTCCATTAAACCTACAAACAATAGGCCTTTTGTTCAGGGGGACCAGCAATTGAGGTTATGCCTTGTTTGTATGTGGCGTTGTTTTACTTTGCCTTTGGCTATTGGTTTTGTATTGGCTTGCCAATGGTGATTCATGCATCTTGCGAGAGTGGAACAGAACTGCCACACCTGCAAACAACTAGCTGTGTTGGAGGCTGATATAAACCGCTGCAACCATGTTGGTAGGTCAACAAATCCAGTCTTTCTTCAATTTGGCAGCAATATTGGGTGTGGCACCTTTCTAACATATCTAAGCCTTTCTAACCTATGCCCTCCATAAAAACTTTCTCACCTGTGTAGCCCTCGGTAAGACCTTTGTGACATCCACATCTCACTTCCTGAGTTTATGGACCGAATGCATCGGAGCATTGAACAGTTGAGGCGCCTGCCGTGCCAATCCACTCAAGTGAGATATGGGAGTTTCTCAAAATGGTGGACCCCCCTTTTGGCTGGAATTTAAAGGAAGCCCAAAAGGAAACCCGATACCCAATTCAGGGGAAACACCCATATGGGTCAGATTCTTTTTTAGGGAACCTCCCGTTTCGGTTGGTTTTGAAGGCAAATGGAGAACCAAAATCCATTCTAAGAGGGGGTCTCCTAAAAAAAGACACACACACACACAAAAACATGGCCTCAATCAGTAGGTTTCACTCCATATCCGTTTTTCCTGGATCCCTCGGGAGGTTTGCCCATCGAGTTGCTGACCATCACCCACTGCTCCGACCGCCATACCGAGCGCTTGCCGGGCTTGGACCAGGAGTGAAGTAAGGGTGCAGTGGCCTTGGGTTCATCGTGTTTGCTTGTTTGGTTTGGTTTGGATTTGGTCTGGTTTGGTCTAGTTTGGTTGGGTTTGGTTGGGTTTGGTTGGTTTGGGTTTGGTTTGGTCGTGTTCTCTTGTTTGGTTTGGTTTGGTTTGGTTTGGTTGGGTTGGGTTTGGTCGTGTTTGCTTATTTTGTTTGGTTGCTTTGGGTTGGGTCGGGTTTGCGTTTGGTCGTGTTTGCTTGTTTGGTCTGGTTCGGTTGGGTTGGTTTGGGTTGGGTTTGGTCGTGTTCGCTTGTTTGGTTGGGGTTGGTTGATTTAGGTTGATTTGGTTTGGTTTGGTTTGGTTGGTTTTAGGTTGGGTTTGGTCGTGGGTTTGGTTTAGGTTGATTTGGTTTGGTTTGGTTGGTTTGGTTGGTTTGGTTTCGTTTGGTCGTGTTTGCTTGTTTGGTTTGGTTTGATTTAGGTTGATTTGGTTTGGTTTGGTTTGGTTGGTTGGGTTGCGTTTGGTCGTGTTCGCTTGTTTGGTTTGGTTTAGGTTGATTTGGTTTTGTTTGGTTTGGTTTGGTTGGTTTGGGTCGGGGTTGGTCGTGTTCGGTTGTTTGGTTTGGTTTAGGTTGATTTGGTTTGGTTTGGTTTGGTTGGTTTGGGTTGGGTTTGGTCGTGTGTGCTTTTTTGGTTCGGTTGGGTTCGCACAGCTGTTTTCCATTTGGGCTTCTCCAACCAACAAAGACAGAGCCAACTCTCACCGGGGCGCCTTGGTTCAGGTTCTGAAAGGGTGTGACGATAGGGGGGAGTTTTTGGGAGCTCTGTAGGACTTTCCTTGTATCGATGATTATTCTCGGCGCCCGAAGCCAAACCCAACGCGTTCGCAAGGAAAGTCCTCAAGGCACCTTCTGGGTCGAAGAATTCTGATCGGATTCGGATCGAAAGAATCTCGCAGAATTCTAGGGGTACCTTCCATTTCCATTCTTTCCTTCTTTCTAAAAAGACACCCAAAACCCTAAGGAAACAGGTGTGGCTTTTAAAAGAAACGAGGTCAGGGCAAAAGGACCCGTTTGAACAGGGAAGCGGAAGAGGATTGCATCCGGCGCGTCGCGGGTTTTGGCACAAATTCCATGAACAAGGGCCAAGCTACCCAAAATGCACTATGAACCATGAGGAAGCTGCATAGTTCATAGTGTGAACTGGATTTCCGGTGTCTCCAAATATGAGTTTTATGTTAGACGATACTATTGAGTCAGATTGGTGTTCTTCTGTGAGTGGGCCAAGGCTGTCCGATTCCGAGGCGCCCGAAGTCCAGACTTGAGATCCAATCCAACCGAAGGGCTCTGAATCTATGGGCATCGCCCAACCCCCGGCACCATACAAGTTTGAGATCCGAGGATTCGAATCCCACACTTTCGCAGATCCGACTTGTAGATCGCAACATTCTAGGGGTTGATTCCCCATTCTTAGCAGGCATCGTCCATTTCAAGCCAGCCATTTCCCCAAAGTTTTTGGTGGTTTTCTAGAAAGAAGGATCCCTGGAAAGAATCGAAATGGAAGTTACCCCTAGAAACATTTAAGTATGAGGTTGATGGCTCCGAGACTTTTCCGCGTTGTTCTTTTTCGCGCAGCGCGGCGAGGAGGGCAAGGGCGATGCCAGCGACGCGCGGCCCTGGATCTTCCCGAAGCGCCGTGCGGTGTTCGTGAGCGCGCGGGTGCACCCGGGGGAGACCCCGGCCAGCTACATGTTGGAAGGCGGTCGGCCCGCCGGTGGTCGTTTTTTGTTGTTGTTTTCGCGCCAAAGCGCCCAAGATATTTTTATTTTTAAGCAGGTGTCGTCATTTTCTTCCTTTTTATTTCTTGTTTTCATTTCTTGCTTTCACGCTAGGTCCCCCAGCTAGGTGCCCTTTCTGTCAACTTTTTTTGGACAGGGTTCCCCTACTAACATAGACTACAGAAGAAAAGTTGGTACCCCTTAATCTAACCGCTACACTGAAGGACCTAGTCACCCCAAAGCGCCAAAGCTTTTTGTTTTTTTAAACGCAGGGCAGCCTTCATGGGGTTGTTTTCGAGGGAGAGAGGAAAACACCCAAAGAGGTCATCCAATTGTCAGTTTGCCAGGCCTGGATTGTCTTTTAAAGCATGTTTTGTGTTTTTGTTTTCTCGTTTTTTTTTCCCTTCATATTCCCTTTCAACCAGACAAAATGGTCTCGACTTCTAGGGGTCAAAGGCTGACCAAATCTGGCCACAAGGCTACAGTAGCGACAAGACAACCGAGATCTTTGACACCTCACTTAAGAGATTTGACCAAGGGCATGGTAAACAACAAGCTGGGTTTGCTTATAAAATAAGATGGATTTGAGTGCGTCTTGTTTTGAGGTTGATATCAATGGAAATCATGAAAATCACGTGTTATTTGGGTACCCCATATTTTGAGATTCAAACAAGAATAGTCTACTCGGATTGTCTATGGTGATCTTCCGAAGACAGTCACCATTCGTGGGTTCTGTTGATGACGAGATGTTTAAACCTCAACTTCCAAATGAGTGGTTTTTTTTCTTGGGGCGGTGTTCCTTTTGGTAGTCCTTTACACACACACAAAAAACAAAAAACCGATTCCCTCCAACAAGAAAGACATACCTAAACGGGTGTGTCGACTTTAGCATTTGCCCAAGATGAGAAGAGACAAGGGTTTGCTTTCTGAAGGGCTTCGGTGTTGGGTCTTGGGGGAACTCCTGGCACCGGCAAACACTGCCGTGGCCTGCCTTTCCAATCCCTACCGAACTTGTCCCGGTGGATTTTTGGGACGTCGGAAAAAACAAAACAAAAACATATGGGTATGGGTCAAAACTAAACCACTAGGGGACCGCAGGTTTTAGGCCATGTTTCCATTTACCAGGGTTCCATTTCGGGTACCGATTTTTGACACACAGCCAGATGTGCTTCTAAGATTTGGGGGCTTAAAGGTTCTCAGCTGACCGAGTTGCTGGATGGGCGGTTTTTCTTTTGGCCGCACGAGTTTTCGCCTGCGTTTTGACTCAGAAGTGGGACGAAAAAGGGTAGATCAGGTTTTGGTTCCCATTTGCCTTTAAGCGAGCCAAAAGTGGCAGAGGTATTTAAAAAAGAGATCAACTTTACCCCTCTAGATCCAACTTTTGATTTGGACAAACCCAGTCTAGTTCCCCCAGCTAGGTGCCCTTTTACCAACTTTTTTTGGTTGGGAAGGTTCCCCTACTAAAACAGACGTCCTGAAAAAAGATCGGGTACCCTTATTCTAACCTCTCTACTGGAGGACCTAGCAGTGACCTTCTTTTCAGACATTGGACCGAGACAATTGTTGTTTTTCCGCAGGTCGGCGAGCTCTGCCTAGATCCTGACACAAAGTTCTGGTGGAAACATGGCGGGAGGAAACTTGCCAACAGCAAAGGACCCTGTGTGGGGTGTTCCTTTCCTTCTTTCTTTTTGCACCAGGAACATGGTCGTGAGCGTTTTAATTTCTCTTCTAAGTGACCGGAAGCTCCTGAATCCTTGACCAGGAATATAGTTCGAGAACTTGTTGGTTTCCCTTTTGACCATTCCTATCTGACAGGAAACCGTTGGACTTCGTGTGAAAGGGATGGGGTTGCTCCGAAAGGGAAGAGAAAATTGGTCCTGAAAGGAAAACCATCTACCCTTTTGTCCAACATCAAACTCACCAGGTCACTTTCAAAGGAACCCCTCAGTCGTCAGGTTCCTTGGATGAAGAGCTTAGGCCGGGTGTCCCCTTATGGGCACAAGCCGGCTTCCCCCTTTTCAACCAAACATTCGGCCCTCACCCGATACAAATGTCGTGGCGGAAACTTCATGTGGATGGGGTTGAACTGAATATTTTTTGCAGCCTATGGCTTGGATCGGCTTGGATCTTTGACCTTCAACACCCGAACCGAAAGTTGAGTCACTTGCGGCCGAAAAGGCTTCTCTGAGGAAAGCTCACTGCCTGAAAACAGTGAGCCACTTGCTCAACACCCGGCTAGATGAAGGTTAGTAAGGGACAATCCCAACCATACATAGCTGCGGATATCCGCCTTCTTAGTTGTCTACATGGTGGGTCGACCATTCTAATAGGTCGACCATGTTAATATCGGGTTTTGATTGTGGCTCCAGTGGACTTGGCCTGGTAAGCAAAAAGAAGTCCGACGTCTTGCCTATCTCGAGCGAGAGCCCGAGTCTGCAGGGCTCTTGGACTTCCTCGCCTCTGGCACCGCGGCTGCTCAGGCGAGCGATGGGTTTTTTTCCTGGAGTCTCAAGGACCCAAAAGTCGCCCAGCTAGGCTCTGGGGTGGTTTTGGGGCAGCTTTTAGGGAAGGTTGCGGGGGCTTTTGATGGGTTCCGGGGGTTGCTGGGCGTATGGTTGTGCAACAACCAAAAGGGGTGCATGGAAGAGTGGGGGTCGAACTGAGGGAAGTCAATAAGACTTTCTTCGGTTTCACAAAAACGAGGGCGTTGACCAGATGTCAAGGGTAAAAACACCCTGTTGCTTGGAGTTAGTAAGGATCGTTAATACTCATTATGATGATTCCTGTGAAGGGAACGCCGTAACTTCTGGGTATAGTGGGAAAAGATTGGGATTTCTATGTTTTGGGGTTTGTGCTCATTCAGCAGATCATGCTGACCCCTCTTTTTCATGGCTCCTGCAAATGAACATGGACACCCCAAAAGCCATCATATTCAGACACATCTCCTTTTGGGGCGACCCCCCTCGCCTGTTTCTGAGAGTATGCCAAACCTCTCGACCAACTAGAGGTCGTTCGGTGGCACCCTCCAAATCCAAGTTGTGTGGTTTGGCTTCGGACATTGCCCCCTTAGGACATGGGCTGAACTGGGAAGTTGGCCTCGGTTCCTGTCTGCCATTTGGAACTGCATGTCATCGGCCAAGGGGAGGCAAACCCAGTGGGCTGTGTTGAGGTGGTTTTGGGACGCCAGAAGAAAACCAATAATTTCCAGAAGGATGATCCTCTTTTTTTGAGGCTACCCTTTTTGGAGTGGTTTTGGGAAACCGACAGGACACCATTGCCATTTCATGGGTTCCGATTCCTGCTGAAAAAGCCTCCGGCTCAGACATGTTTGCCCCTGTTCCGTAGAAAGGTCTCACAGGACTTGAGTAGGGACCTCTGGTTTGCATCTTGTTCCTATGCCTGTAGGTTTTTGCGCGATCGTTTGGGAAAGATCCCGGCAAGACACGACGGACCTTTCGTTTGACTCTGCTTGCTCCCGTTTGCAAGGAATGTGACATTAATGATAGGAGCATTTTCCCAAACACCATTTTGCAATCTGAAAATCGGGTGGTCTGGACAAGCATGAGAACACAAGCCCGCTTGAGCCACAATCAAAACCTGCTTACCTTCACGTGAAAAGCATGAGAACACAAAAGCCAATTTGTGTTGGATCTTTAGGCTTTAACTTTTTGGATTCCCCTCCTATTTCCTTTGAACCAGCAAAAAGTGTTAAACACTTTTTGCTGGGGGATCTACGGCACCCAAGGTTTCTCGTGTCGTTAGACACGCCTGTCTGTCGACGGATGTTGAGACCCAGCTCTGGGCGTTCAGCTTGACTACTATTGGGTTTAGACTTTAACCTTTTGGTTGAAATCAAGAAAGGGGTTTCCCACTAAACCCCCCCCCAAAATCAAGTTGGTTGTCCCTCTAAACCCCTCAAAAAGTTGAACTTTTTGCAGAGAAACCCCAAAAAGTTTGGTTTTCCCACTAACCCCCCCCAAAAAAAGTTAGAAGAACTTGTTGCAGAGGGGTCAATCAACTGCAGCAAAGTCAGGAGCTGCTGCGGCGCTTCGTGTTCTTCATCCTGCCGGTGCTCAACCCCGACGGCGCGGCCGCGCCGCGAATTAGGGGCCATGGTTAGTGGTGTATGTTCTACCCGTTTTTTTTTCTTCTCGATTTTTTTTTGGGGTTGATGTTTTTTTTTGTTTCCCGTTTGTTTTTTTTGTTCTCCGAGGGGCACCCCTTTTGGAGTTGAAAGGGAAAGCAGAAGCAAACCCTCGCCATGAATGTTGATCCAGCGCAGCACAGCTGAGCAAACGGATACACTTAGGGGCCAGCTCCTAAGGCACGTGGTTGTTTGGATGTATCCTTGGAGGATCCCCCTGGTGGTGTCGGCATTTTGGTTCCACAGCGCCAAGAACTGCTTTTTGGGCAGCGCCGGTCTTGGTGGAAAAGATAAAAAAGGCAAACAGTTAATGGGAAATGCTAAAAAGACTTACAGATTGAATCCGAAGTCAATTGATCCAAGAAACACAAAGCCTTGGTGTTGGTCGTGTGGTCCCACTGCAGTTTGAGAGTTCAAACCTGTCTTCTTTAGGCCAAATGGGAAGAGTCACTCCACATCCAAGCCCATTCACTGGTAAGCAAGAGGACCGAACGCCAAATCTCCCCCCAAAACACTCCCTGGAATCACTATGGCTTTGTCTCTCAATGCACATATACATACTTATACATTGTGTATATATATATATATTTGTACGTATGTTATCATATGTTCCAGGCCTGCAGCCCCCACCCACCCCCCAGTGGATGTGGTTGCTTGAGTGTGGTGTTATTGGACGAATGCTGCCTTTGCACATGTGCGTTCTGCGTATATTGATATATACGTATGCACAGATACATATATGCACATGTATACATATATGTATAGATATACATATATACATATATACATATATACATATATACATATATACATATATATACACACTATGTGTATATACATATATACATATATACATGTATACATATATATATATATACATATATACATATATATATAATTACATATATATATATATACATATATACATATATACATATATACATATATACATATATACATATATACATATATGCATACATACATACATATATATACATACTATGTGTCTATACATATATACATATATACATATATACATATATACATATATACATATATACATATATACATACATACATATATATACACACTATGTGTCTATACATATATACAGATATACATATATACATATATACAGATATATACATATATACATATATACAGATATACATATATACATATATACATATATACATTTGTACATATATACATATATATACACACTATGTGTATATACATATATACATATATACATATATATATATACACTATGTGTATATACATATATACATATATACATAAATACATATATACGTATATACATATATACATATATACATATATACATATATACATATCTACATACATATACACACTATGTGTAATTACATATATATACATATATACATATATACATATATACATATATTCGTATATACATATATACATGCATACATATATATATATATACACACTATGTGTATATACATATATACATATATATAACATATGTACATATATTTGATCCTGTTCGCTCCGAGCGCTTTGCTTGGCAGGGGTGGCGTGCGGCCACCACCGCCTGGACTTGCGGGCGGAGAACCTGAACCGAGTCTACGGCAAGGCGCGCGCGCCGCGCCTCTCGCGATCGCGCGCCGCTTTTGGACGAGGATTTCCGGCGTTTGGAACACCTGAGCCACCTTCGGTGTGAGAACGTGGTGGTTTCTTGGTGGCTCCCAGCCATCCGGTTCCTTTGCTTTTTCTGGTGTTTAGTGGTTAGTGGTAGTTTCCGTATTTAATCTGAGGGCAGCCCAGTTTCCTCTTGTTGGAACACAGAGCCATCCTTGATCATCGAATTGCATCCTCCCAAAAAGGTGTCAAAAGCAGCGAGTTTTTGTTGGTCGTGGGCCCTATTTTAGTATTGCGAAAGGTCTTCTTGCATCCCATGTGTCTTTTCTTTGGCGTGAGCAAAACACGTTGTTTTTTGTTGCGGCTGGATGACCTACATTGCTTGGGAATCCCACTCACATGAGCAAACAATCAAACATGCAAAGAGCTGCAGAGCCGAATCAGAGCGGGGAGGTTCATCCAAACATATCTTACCCCCCCCGGCCCCCTAAGAATCAAATTGGAGAAAGCCAGAAGCCACCATTTGTCAAGTTCAGAACAGAAACAGAATCCCCTTCGGGGGGTGGGGGGATTTATTTGTTTTATTCAAAGTAATTTTGCAGCGGAGTAAAGCAAGAGGTTGGCCCAACCCGAGCCAAGACGGCAAGCAAAAAGAAAGATTCATCGAGTCAAAGGCTGGATGCGTGCAGTGCTTTGCATGTTTGATTCTTTGCTCCTGTTCGTGGGAACCAAGCAACATATGTCATATTCTGACCTGCACACAGTGGTGGTGTATGACGCTGCTCATGATAGCACAATTATATTTGCCCAGGGATCAACGGGGGCCAAATGACCATGGATTCATGTATCCTTCACCAGGCATGTTTTCAAAGTTTACTTCGTTGATTCTGTGAGCGGAACACACAATGTGCAACGTGCTTTGCTGACACCAAGGCCGGCTTAGTTTTCCACTTTGCCAAACCCAGAACAGGACCAACACCTTTATTGTCACCGCCAAAAAACCACATTATCCTGGGGTCTCCGCCAAAACTATGATTTCCGAGTACCTGGCCCGTTTTTCGAGGTGCACTGCTTTGTGGTTTGAAAGGGAAACAAAATAATAAGCCCACGTGGCATCCCCAACCACCCGGAACCTCCTGAAACCCTCCAGAACCTGGGGAGAGACCCCAAAGCATTCAGCAGTTTTCGGGAAATTCATATCGCCATTTTTGGGGTTTTCCCCAAATTTGTTGTTGGGGGGGTTCCAACATTTGCGGTTCTTTCCAGGATCCTTTTTTTTAGAAAACCAGTATCCCCGGAATTTTCCCGGAACCTCCTGAAACTTTCTGGAACTTCGTCTGAAATCCCCTGAAATCCCCTGAAACCCCCCGCAACCCCTTGGAACCCGCCTGGGATCCCCTGAAACCCTCCCCTAATTTCGAGACTTGCGGTTTGGTATCTCAGGCCTCCTGGGAGGATCATCCCTCCGTGGTGGCGGCCGAGAAGGCTTGCCTCCGCGCGCACCGGCACCAGGCGCGAAGTCTTTTTCGTCCCGGTGCTTTGGAGCTCGCTGGATTTGTTGAGACAAAACATTTGGCTGTGGGTCAAAACCAGTGGTACCGTTTTGGGGGTAGGTGAATTCACCACCCATTGTAGTCGGGAGTTTAGTGGGGATTGGGATGTTCACTGGGGGTACGGGATTTTGACCCATGGCCATTTTACATTTTTGCTTATTGAAATCCAACCACTTAACTGCTAAAATGTATTTTTTTTGCTCCCCAAGCCCAACGTCAACCGAGCTCAGTGGAATTTGGGAATATTTGGAGTTGAAGCCCTGGTTCTTGTAGAGCAAGTGGAAAACCCCCTTCCAGAAAAACCTGTGTTTCGGGTTCCCTCCTGATTTTCCCAAACACGGACTGGCCACTCCAAACCAACAAAAACACATTCCTGTCTTGGGTGTCTGTGTTTGTAGATGAGCCTGCGTTGTTTTTTCCGGGCCCGCAGAAAAGGCAAGCAGCTTGTCAGGTTCCCTCGAGTTGGCGGCTTGGATTGGTGGTTTAGATTTTGGATTAGAACCCCTGGTTCTTGAAAATGGGAACCCCCTCCAAAAAGCCACCACCAATCCAAACCAACACTTAGAGGAAAGCTGATTTGTTCGGACTGGTGGCGGGTGTGACTCAAAACCCCAAAGAACATCCCAAAATGATAATGGGGGGGGGGGGGCTGCTGGTTGTTGGTGCAGAGGAGTGTTTTTTTGAGTTGGTTTTGTGATTGGTTGTCTTCTCTCTCTCTCTCTCTCTCTCTCTCTTTCTCTCTCTTTCTTTTTGAAAAGGTTGGTTTCCGTTTGGTTTCCGTTTGGTTTCCGTTTGGTTTCCGTTTGGTTTCCGTTTGGTTTCGTTTGGTTTCCAAAGGAACAATACAGCAGAACCGCACTAGCGTGGATGCACACAATGCAGGCGTTGGTATGGATGAAGCCCAACGAGTACTGGAATATACCACATACGAACTGGTGCTTGACGTGGATTTGTCCATCCAGATTACCTCCAAACATTGCACAAGGGTGGTTTTGCTTTTGGCTTCCCTTTAACCCAACCATAAAACACAGACACGCAAAATCCATGCACGCACGCCGTAGGAAGGTTGATTCCTAAACTCCCCCCTTTCAAAATGTTAGTTGACTTTAAAATCCATCATGCGTCTGTCTTTTTTGGGGGTACCTTTTTTTTGGTGGTTCAAAGGAAAACCAAAAGGAGATCACCCATTTTGGGCTTCCCCTATTTTAAGACAAACCAACATGGATCCATCCATGCTTGGTTTGAGAGGCACACAAAGGTAAACCCCGCTTCTTAAATTTCCATTTGCTTGAGGATTTTCTTCAGTGGTTCCTGACGATATGTTCTCATTGTTGCCAGGAGACTTCTCAGCAAATGAGAGTAATTGTTTTTTTGGTGAAAGGAAGCAAAGAATCCACCAGGCGGAGAAGGGTGGTTTTCCTGGTAGCTTCCCTTTCAAAATCCGCCTTAGACTTGTTGGTGCTCAAGGACTGCGGGATCGGAAGGACCAGCAAAACCCATCCAACCGGGTTTCCTTGCGGGTTCATTCCACCTCTCCTTCCCCGACTTCGCCGCAAGAACACGGGGGTCCTCCAATTCAGGAATCCTTCACGGTCGATCAATTTTCCACGAAAAGGCAAAAGGACCCCCCCTGACCCTGGTTTCGAGGATCCCTCCCTCTGGTCGATCAATTATCCACATCCCACCAGATCCCAGATCCCTCCCAGATCCCTCCCACATCCCAGATCCCACATCCCACCCACATCCCACCAGATTTCACCACATCCCACCAGATCCCACCCAGATCCCACCCAGATCCCACCACATCCTGTGGCAAAAGGAATGCTCCCAGATCTCACCCAGGGAACCCCTCGCCCCCGTGCGCCGCCAGGGGCTGCGGCTCTATCTGGATCTCCATGCCCACAGCAACCGCCGGGGCGGGTTCCTCCTGGCGGACGCGGGCAGCCGCTCGGTATGGGAATGCCCCTGGGACACATACTTCCCCCTTTGGAAGGCATATGTATACATATAGCATGTCTGTGGCTTTGCACATGTTTTTTAGATATACACATATTAAAAAATGTATATGTATATATATATATTGCAAATGATGAACATGTTTTGATGAGTGCAACCGTTCCACTATTCAATTTTTATTATGGTTTCTGTGGCTAGGCAGTGAGGGTACACCTTAGCCTCGCAGGTGAGACCTGGGAAGCCAAAACTGAATCCGAGGCCCACTTTGTGTTGGACCCCATTGCCGAAGGGGACCTTTTCGGACAGCTTTGATGGGAAAAGAACACCTGGGCAACCCATGAGTCGCGTGTGCCCTGATTTGCAAGGCACAAAGTGGCTCAGTCGGAAGGAACCAAAACTCGAATGCAGTTATCCGCCCTTTGATTCTTAACATTTACCCCTGGGTACCAGGTTTCGGTTGAGAGGGGAATCTACTCAAAGTGTTGCATCTACCCATTTCTTCTACCCAGATGGAGGTTCCGTTTTTTGAACATATCGACTAGAAGATCTCCCAGATGAGTGACCTCAGATGATCTTAATGTGGATTTTTATGAGTCGTTTTGACTAGTGTTTTGTGAGGGGGCCCTTATGTTTTGAACTCAATTAAACTAAGACCCTTATCAACAAAGAAACTCCAAAATGTTTGAGGTATGTGTGTTTATTAGGAATCCGAAAAGGGTTCTTGACTAGAATTGTGTTTGTTGCTTTCAAAATGGGCCATTGATGTTCTCCGACGTCAGACGGTTCTTCAGGTAACCCTTAGTTGGCGGTTTGGATTGGTGATTTCGGGATTTGAACCCCTTTGTAGAGGGTTATTGGGGTTAACCCGTCCGATCCCAACCAACTCGAGGGAATCATCTTTTTTGGGAAGACCAGTTTAATGGCACATGAAAACTTTGGTTTTGACCACCAATCCAAACCATCAATTAGAGGGACGCTGTTTTTTGGAAGACCATTTCGGCAAATAACAAGTGTGGCGTTCCTTTTTTTGGCCCAAATAACATGTGTGGTTTCTTTTTTTGGGGCCATCCACTCGGGAAGTTTTCGAGTTGATCTTCAGGTGTTTGGACCTATGCATGGCTATTGTTGGAAGCAAATTGAAATCCAACCACTTAACCGCTAAATTGTTTTTTTGCTCCCCTTCCAACGTCAACCAAGTAAAGGGAGTTGTCCCCTTTTGGTCAGGGGAAACCCCACGAGCAGGGTAATTACCTTTTTTTTTTTTTTTCGTGTGTGTGTGTTTTTGGGGAAACCCAAAGGACACACCGCAACGCGGTAAGGAGAAACCCCAGAAACACTCGTGATCCTGGAATTGGAACCCCGTATACACTGAGTATTCAGTATCCGCTCACCCTGATACACTCACCCTGGAATTGGAACCCTGAATGCAGTGAGCGTATTGCCCGAACCAACGCTGAAAGTTCATCCTCCGCACCTGCAACGCTCGACTCCCAGAGTTAGCTCCCCTTTTTCCTTTCTTGCTTTTTTGGGGTCTTCTTTGTTTTCCACTAGCCAGGCAAAAAAAAACAAAAAACATTTTTTTTGGCTGGGGTCCGATTTTTCCAGCCTATGGCTGGCTCGACTTACGACTTACGACTCCAGGCGACGCCAAAAGCCTCGCGGAGGCCAAGCTCTTCGGCTGGGCGCTGGGCAGGCGCTTCGGCGGTCGTCGGCGCTTTTCGGCGGTCGGCTGGTTTGGGACCTCGAGTGTTCGGCTCCAGAGACATGGGTGGCGTGTTTTTTTCTCTAGGTCCCCCAAAGTGCCCTTTCTCACCATGAACTCGGGGAATCTGCCCTTAAAGGAGACCAAATGAATAGTTTTGCTCGGTCGTTCCATTTCTCAGGGCCCCTATCAAACAAGCAAGCCCAGGTCTTCCAGCAGTGCCCTTTTACCCACTGTTTTGGGGGAGTACCGAAAAAGTGGGCACCAACTTATTCTAAGCTCTCTGGGGGACCCAGAAGCTCTGGCCACCGGGGAAGCCCTCGAAGTGCGAATTCGCCAGGCGCTGCGAGGTCTTCGAGTTCGCGCAGAGCGACTTCAGCGAGTCCAAGCGCGGCACGGGGAAGTCCTTCATGGCCAAAGCGAGCCTCGGATGAGGTCTGTGGTTCCGACTGGTTGGGTTGTTTGGGTGCCCTAAACACTTCCAGTTGTTTAAGTGTTTTTTTTTCAATCCCCTGTTGGGTTTAAAAGGAATCGATCACTACTGGATTTGTTTTTATTTCTTCCAGGGGGCTTAAGCAAATGGAAGAACAAGCTAGGGGGAACCCCCAAGATTGAGGCAAATGGACACCTTTGAGGGTGCTCTTTTCGAAAACTGCGAATCGTTTTACGGGGTCGCCCAAAAAATGACACCCCCAATATGGGCACCGGTTGGTGAGGGGACCCTAAAATACGGAAATACGAGCCTCGCAGGTGAAATGGGCACGTCAAGGGTCAGGGGACCCGGACATGAGCTTACTTGCCCAAAGCGAATTGGTTTGACCGTTTAGTTTCACCTGTTTGGTCCATTTGTAGTCACGAACCTTTTAAGTATTTCTGGGTCCCAAAGGGCATTTGAGCGAGCCCCAAGTTCTTGGCATATACCCTCTTTGGAGTTGGTTGGGGAAACCAAAGGGAAACCAAGATCTGTTTGGGTTCAAATCACTATTTTGACATATACTCAAAGGAAGCGCAAGACACACCCATCACGGGACCTGTGAATGCGAGTTCCAAGAATCGGGTTCTGATCGCTTCATGTCACATCCGAAAGGAACTCATGTGGTAGAACCCATTGAACGGGTCCAATTTGGGAGTCAAGCCCAGGGACGAGTTTGGAAGTGCACAAGCCGCCCGTTTCGAAGACTACTGGATTAATGTTCGCGCAACTTGACAACGGGCGCCTTGGCGCAATGGAAGGTGGAGATGCTTCCAGAGAGCACCCTTCTTGTACCCACTTGGATATTGAAACAATTTTATCAAACGGATGGGGGTTGCGAACACCATTTAGCTGATGTCAAAGGAGTCCAAATTTTATAGACACTTGCAACCCTTGTATCAAGGGTTCCACAGTCGGACTCTTATTGCACGCCTTAGTTTGCATATGGGTGTTTCCTCTTTTCGAGGGAACCCTCTCTCAAAGGCAAACTAAAGGGACCCCTTTTCGAGATTTATGGGGAGGCAAACCTTTAGGAACACCAACCCCTTTGGCAGGTTCCCCGATTTGAGACACAGCGTGACTTCCATTAGAATCCCAAGGACTGGGAATCCGCTTTGCTTCACCGTGGAGTGCCACTACATACGAGGCGTTTCTTCCGATCGGTCGGTGGTCGGTCCAAGGAACCGGACGTGGGGGGGACGGGAAGGGGACTCACACCAATGTCCCCATGGGGAAAAGCATCAAACAAGTTGCGCAGCGCCTACATGATCCCGAATGCGCACCCATTTTTTTAGGAAGCTCGAGTCCCTGAAATATGTTCATCAAGAATTGTTAAGATGCTATGGCTCACCCACCACTTTCAGGGTGTCCCTAAACATGCCAAGCCACAAGGTAAACGCCTTGAGTTGAAGTGTCAAGGCTGTCTTTGGGGGTTTGTGGATTTGTTGACTGGGCTTTTGACAGGTGTTGGTGTTGTCTTACTATGGGTCGTCGTTCAATTTATTTTATAGATTCATCTGCCTATTTATGTGCTTGTTGCTTCTTTATGGTCTTATTGATTGATTCATTTATTTGTTTGTTTGTTTGTTTGTGTATGCATCTATTGGTTTTACTTATTTGTGAGGTTTGTTCACGTTGTTTTCATGTATTTTTCCCGGAAGCATTGCGAAGGGTTCTTCTTCTAAAAGCGGCTGCCAACTTCACCTGCCAACTTCTCATGCCAACTTGTCGAGAGTTACTTCACCTGCCAACTTCTCATGCCAACTTGTCGAGAGTTACTTCACCTGCCAACTTCTCATGCCAACTTGTCGAGAGTTACTTCACCTGCCAACTTCTCATGCCAACTTGTCGAGAGTTACTTCACCTGCCTACTTCTCATGTCAACTTTTTGAGAGTTACTTCCTGCCAACTTCTCATGTCAACTTTTCGGCTGTTATCTCATTCTACTAAAAGCACAAGCTAATTTGTCGGGTGTTACTTCACTATCCTAAAAACACAAGCTAACTTTTCTGTTCTACCTTCACTTCTCGACTCTTAATTCTTCTTCTTTTTATGGCGGGGGTAGGCCCGACGGGAGCTTACGAAACGCACCCCTCTGCGGAGATCGTGCGTGTCGAAGCGCTCTCGCTGTGGCGCCGTGCGAATTTGTCTTGACCTTGGCGAACCCTCTGCGGAGATCGTGCGTGTCGAAGCGCTCTCGCTGCGGCGCCGTGCGAATTTGTCTTGACCTTGGCGAACCCTCTGCGGAGATCGTGCGTGTCGAAGCGCTCTCGCTGTGGCGCCGTGCGAATTTGTCTTGACCTTGGCGAACCCTCTGCGGAGATCGTGCGTGTCGAAGCGCTCTCGCTGTGGCGCCGTGCGAATTTGTCTTGAGCCCGGCGAACCCTCTGCGGAGATCGTGCGTGTCGAAGCGCTCTCGCTGTGGCGCCGTGCGAATTTGTCTTGACGCGGCGAACCCTCTGCGGAGATCGTGCGTGTCGAAGCGCTCTCGCTGTGGCGCCGTGCGAATTTGTCTTGACCTTGGCGAACCCTCTGCGGAGATCCTGCGCGTCGAAGCGCTCTCGCTGTGGCGCCGTGCGAATTTGTCTTGAGCCCGATGAACCCTCTGCGGGGATCGTGCGTGTCGGATCGCTCTCGCTGTGGCGCCGTGCGCATCTGTCTTGAGCCCGATGAACCCTCTGCGGAGATCGTGCGTGTCGAAGCGCTCTCGCTGTGGCGCCGTGCGATTTTCTTGCTCGCGAAACGGCTTTTGGAAGTTGTCTCGTGGTGCGCGCGCCTGCTTTCGCAATCCCGCGGTCCCGGGTTCGATTCCCCCCTGGTCCGCGGCAGCTCCGGCTTGAAAATCGCAGCTTTTAAGTACAAACGTAGTACGCGGAGCGTGCTCCTGCAGCTCCGGCTGGAAAATCGCAACTTTTAAGTACAGACGTAGTACGCGGAGGCTGCTGCAGCTCCGGCTGGAAAATCGCACTTTTTAAGTACGGACGTAGTACGCGGAGCGTGCTCCCGCAGCTCCGGCTGGAAAATCGCAACTTTTAGATACAAATGGCTGGAAAATCGCAACTGTAAATTGCAAATGTAGCACGCGGAGCGCCTACGCCGCTCCAGCTTTTTGAGGGTTAATTACTTCACCTGCCAGTTTCTCATGCCGAAACTTCGAGAATTACTTCACCTGCCAGCTTCTCATGCCACCTTTTCGAGAGTTACTTCACCTGCCAACTTCTCGTGCCAACTTTTCGAGGAGTTACTTCACCTGCGAGCTTATCCTGCCAACTTTTCGAGAGTTACTACACCTGCGAGCTTCTCATGCCAACTTTTCGAGAATTACTTTACCTGCCAACTTCTCATGCCAACTTTTCGAGAAATACTTTACCTGCCAACCTCTCGTGGCAACTTTTCGCAAAATTACTTCACCTGCCCCTGCCAGCTTCTCATGCCAACTTTTCGAGAGGTACTTCACCTGCCAACATCGCCTGCCAACTTTTCGAGAGTTACTTCGCCTGCCAACTTCTCGCGCCAACTTTTCGAGAATTACTTCGCCTGCCAACTTCTCATGCTAACTTTTCGAAAGTTACCTGCCGGCTTCTCGCGCCAACTTTTCGAGAGTTACTTCACGCGCCATCTTCTCGTGCCAACTTTTCGAGAATTACTTCACCTGCCAGCTTCTCACGCCAACTTTTCGAGAGTTACTTCACCTGCCAACTTCTCATGCCAACTCTTTGTGAGTTATTTCACCTGCCAACTTCTCATGCCAACTTTTCTCTTGAGTTACTTCGCCTGCCAACTTCTCATGTCAACTTTGCGAGAATTACTTCACCCGCCAACTTTGCCAGCCAACTATTCGAGAGTTACTTAACCTGCCAGCTTCTCATGCCAACTTTTTGAGAATTGCTTTGCCTGCCAACTCCTCATGCTAACTTTGCGAGAGTTACCTCACCTGCATCAACTTGCCTCTATGCTTCCGGGCCACTCGTCGTCTAGTTTTCTTTTTTTTATCTATTTATGCATTGTGTTATGTGATTAGTTTTTCCCGGAAGCATTGCGAAGGGTTCTCTAACCCTAGCCCTACAAACCACAACGAGATCCTGTTGAACTTCTTAAGGGTTATTCAGTTCTTCGGGTTCTTCTTCTAAAAGCGGCTGCCAACTTCACCTGCCAACTTCTCATGCCAACTTGTCGAGAGTTACTTCACCTGCCAACTTCTCATGCCAACTTGTCGAGAGTTACTTCACCTGCAAACTTCTCATGCCAACTTGTCGAGAGTTACTTCACCTGCTAACTTCTCATGCCAACTTGTCGAGAGTTACTTCACCTGCCTACTTCTCATGTCAACTTTTCGGCTGTTATCTCATTCTACTAAAAGCACAAGCAAATTTGTCGGGTGTTACTTCACTATCCTAAAAACACAAGCTAACTTTTCTGTTCTACCTTCACTTCTCGACTCTTAATTCTTCTTCTTTTTATGGCGGGGGTAGGCCCGACGGGAGCTTACGAAACGCACCCCTCTGCGGAGATCGTGCGTGTCGAAGCGCTCTCGCTGTGGCCCCGTGCGAATTTGTCTTGAGCACGATGAACCCTCTGCGGAGATCGTGCGTGTCGAAGCGCTCTCGCTGCGGCGCCGTGCGAATTTGTCTTGAGCGCGGCGAACCCTCTGCGGAGATCGTGCGTGTCGAAGCGCTCTCGCTGTGGCGCCGTGCGAATTTGTCTTGACCTTGGCGAACCCTCTGCGGAGATCCTGCGTGTCGAAGCGCTCTCGCTGTGGCGCCGTGCGACTTTGTCTTGAGCCCGATGAACCCTCTGCGGGGATCGTGCGTGTCGAAGCGCTCTCGCTGTGGCGCCGTGCGAATTTGTCTTGAGCGCGGCGAACCCTCTGCGGAGATCGTGCGTGTCGAAGCGCTCTCGCTGTGGCGCCGTGCGAATTTGTCTTGACCTTGGCGAACCCTCTGCGGAGGATACGAGGTCGCGACGCACAGTGAAACACGTGGGGCGAGGCCCGGGGTCTTGGCTTGGGGTAGGTGGCACGTCAAGGTGGACGGGGGTCGTGGCGCTTCCGGGTGTGGTGTGGGCTGGGGGCACCGGGAAGAGGGCGGGGGGGGGCGGTGCGGGCACGGGGGGGGCGGCCGTGCCGTCGATAGTTCCCCTGGGTGCTAGGGTTTTTTTTTTTTCTTTTTTTCTCGTTTCTCTCCTCTGCCCTTTCTTTACTTCCTATTTTTTTTTCTCTTCTTTTTTTTATCTCTTCTCTTTTCACTTTCCCTGCGTGTCGAAGCGCTCTCGCTGTGGCGCCGTGCGAATTTGTCTTGAGCCCGATGAACCATCTGCGGGGATCGTGCGTGTCGGATCGCTCTCGCTGTGGCGCCATGCGCATCTGTCTTGAGCCCGATGAACCCTCTGCGGAGATCGTGCGTGTCGAAGCGCTCTCGCTGTGGCGCCGTGCGATTTTCTTGCTCGCGAAACGGCTTTTGGAAGTTGTCTCGTGGTGTGCGCGCCTGCTTTCGCAATCCCGCGGTCCCGGGTTCGATTCCCCCCTGGTCCGCGGAAGCTCCGGCTTGAAAATCGCAGCTTTTAAGTACAAACGTAGTACGCGGAGCGTGCTCCTGCAGCTCCGGCTGGAAAATCGCAACTTTTAAGTACAGACGTAGTACGCGGAGGCTGCTGCAGCTCCGGCTGGAAACTCGCACTTTTTAAGTACAGACGTAGTACGCGGAGCGTGCTCCCGCAGCTCCGGCTGGAAAATCGCAACTTTTAGATACAAATGGCTGGAAAATCGCAACTGTAAATTGCAAATGTAGCACGCGGAGCGCCTCCGCCGCTCCAGCTTTTTGAGGGTTAATTACTTCACCTGCCAGTTTCTCATGCCGAAACTTCGAGAATTACTTCACATGCCAGCTTCTCATGCCACCTTTTCGAGAGTTACTTCACCTGCCAACTTCTCGTGCCAACTTTTCGAGGAGTTACTTCACCTGCGAGCTTATCATGCCAACTTTTCGAGAGTTACTACACCTGCGAGCTTCTCATGCCAACTTTTCGAGAATTACTTTACCTGCCAACTTCTCATGCCAACTTTTCGAGAAATACTTTACCTGCCAACCTCTCGTGGCAACTTCACCTGCCAACTTTTAGAGAATTACTTCACCTGCCAACTTCTCATGCCAACTTTTCGAGAAATACTTTATCTGCCAACCTCTCGTGGCAACTTTTCGCAAATTACTTCACCTGCCAGCTTCTCATGCCAACTTTTCGAGAGGTACTTCACCTGCCAACATCGCCTGCCAACTTTTCGAGAGTTACTTCGCCTGCCAACTTCTCGCGCCAACTTTTCGAGAATTACTTCGCCTGCCAACTTCTCATGCTAACTTTTCGAAAGTTACTTCACCTGCCGGCTTCTCACGCCAACTTTTCGAGAGGTACTTCACGCGCCATCTTCTCGTGCCAACTTTTCGAGAATTACTTCACCTGCCAGCTTCTCACGCCAACTTTTCGAGAGTTACTTCACCTGCCAACTTCTCATGCCAACTCTTTGAGAGTTATTTCACCTGCCAACTTCTCATGCCAACTTTTCTCTTGAGTTACGTCGCCTGCCAACTTCTCATGTCAACTTTGCGAGAATTACTTCACCCGCCAACTTTGCCAGCCAACTATTCGAGAGTTACTTAACCTGCCAGCTTCTCATGCCAACTTTTTGAGAATTGCTTCGCCTGCCAACTCCTCATGCTAACTTTGCGAGAGTTACCTCACCTGCATCAACTTGCCTCTATGCTTCCGGGCCACTCGTCGTCTAGTTTGTTTATGTTTTGATTGGTTGCTTGATTTATTTGTTTATTCATCTATCGCGGAGAGGGGTATGGGTTGGGTACTCCTGGAATGGGACCAAGACTCCAATGCACCTGGGCTTGGGCTCGGTTCAGCCGCTGGTTCGGCCGCTAAAAATCACTCCCAAGCCAACATTGAACCTGAATGTGCTATCATGGGGAGGGAGCCCAAGACAAGCCCTTATTAAGCCCTTATTAAGTCCTTAATAAGGCCTTATTTAGGGCTTATTTGGGCTCCCTCCCCCTCCCCTCCCTCCCCCCAAGCCCCCTGCTATAAGGGCTTGAATGCCTAGAGCTGGGTTGTGGGGTGCTTTGAAACCAAACGTTTCTCATGACCATAGCGGCACACAGCTAAAATTTGATTTGGCCACCCAGCTACGCAATGGGTGGGTTTCCGCTTCAAGTCACAGGAGTTTTCTGAGCGTCCTCTGTGGGGTTTCCTTTTGAACGCCTATTTAGCTTGCGCTTTTTGTTGTGGTTGTTCTTATTCGCCCACTGAGCACTCAAGCTGCTTGTCTGGGCTTCATTTTTTGAGATTGGGATGTGTCAAAGTCTAGCGCCGGCTTGACCCTCGTTCCCTTGGCACGGAAGTGCAATTCCGGCCCTGAACTTGACTCGGCTGGGCACTTGGGTGACTAAACCCTTGAAGGAATCCTACCCGGTTTAGGCCAAGGTGGATGGCGAACTGTTGAATCTAGCAGCATACCTCACTTGTCATGTTTGTGTGCGTGCTGCCGGTAGCCTTCGGCTTGGTGTTCGGATATTTGTGCACACTCCGCTTTATGTGCTGGCAACTTGCAAGCTGGGCTGTTCAAAGGTAATCCTTAATCCTTACCTGCGGTTACGGGGGTTTTCTTTGTGGCTGTCCTACAGGGATTAGGGAATAGGATTGGCCAACCCTCCATTTTGAACAGCCTTGGCAAGACATTCTATTCCTATAACCCAGAGGCTCCTGGCTTCGGCTTTCAATGGAAGATCTGACCCCTTAGACACCATGGGAATCGGTGGTTGGGGGTCTCAAAACCAGGTTGTTTGAAGGCCCATCAATCGAATTGGAGCCTTTGGGAAGCCCCAAAGCTTGAGGTCAGAGATTTGACATGCGCAGGCCTTATGGCCAGAGCCTTGACCGGCTCTGGTCATATCCAGTACCCAAAGCCCAATTTCGGGATTCAACCAGCTCTTGCAAGCAAGGGAAGCCAATGGAAACCGGGAGCCAATGGAAACCGGGAGCCAATGGAAACCAATGGAAACCAATGGAAACCAACGGAAACCAAGGGAAAGCAAGGCAAGCCAACAAGAAAAGCTGGAATCACATCGAAATCCCGGGCTCCCTTTGATTTAATTGATTTGGATTTTCCTTGGGTTTCCCTCGGGCTTTCTGGTCGAAGGCTCCCATTTTTTTTCGTTTTTCGTAAGCCGGATGCTACGGATGTGTGTTTTCGAACCCATTCCATTCCAGGCAAGGGAAACCACTGGAAACCGAGAGCCAATGGAAACTGGAAGCAACAAGTTTCTATATAGGTCAAAAATGGATATCCATTTTGGAAATCCTAGAAAATGGAAGCAAGGACAACCTGTCCAATTCCTGGTGCTTTCATTTTGATACCCATACCCAGAAAAAAGAAACCACGTTGGTCGCCTTTCGCCGACGCCGCATGGGCATGAAGCGAAGGCCACCACAGCGCCTGGCCGTTTCTGCCCTCGAAGTGGCGGACGATGGGCGCCGCGTGCCTCGTGGCGCTGCTGGATCTCGAGGCGCTGTCCTCTGCCAGGCGCGGGGGTTTGATGGGCGCGAGGAGGCGGCATGGCAGGGCGGGGATGGAGGACCAGTGGTTTGAACCCCCTCATGTTTTTTCTCTCTCTCTCTCTCTCTCTCTCTCTCTCTCTCTCTCTCTCTCTCTCTCTCTCTCTCTCTCTCTCTCTCTCTCTCTCTCTTTTTAAACAAACATAAACATATTTTGCATGTTTGCCTAAATACGTTTTAAGCTGGTTATAAACCACAAGGACACCCTACGAACACTGGCTGTGGCGCTTACTAGGCCATTTGCTGTCACTGACGTATCCTGCCCCGAGTTAGGGGTTACAGCCTGGAAAAAGACCGCTTGCGGCCTAAGCAGATCCCAAGAACTGGTCAACCCCCATCGGCCATTTTCGGGGGTGTCGCCTGAGCCACCTAGCTCCCCCAGTAGTGCCCGACCTCTTACCAACTTTTTCGGGGGAGGGTTCCCCTACTGAAATAGACTACAGAAAAAAGGGTACCCTTATTCCAACCTCTCGACTGGAGGACCTAGCCACAATCAAAACCGATTTGGACGGACAGTTCAATTGGCTACCGTTAAAAGACTCATTTTCGTGGCGCCTCCACTCCACTAGGCCTTAAAACCAGTCAGGGAGTCAGGTTCGTGAGAGCCCACAACCTTTGCCATAGACGGTTCTTACTTGGTATGGGGATATAGTGACTAGGTCCCCCAGCCAGGTGCCCTTTTTGTCAACTTTTTTTGGGGGATGGTGCCCCTACTAAAATAGACTAAAGAAAAAAAGGTACCCTTATTGTAACCTCTCTACTGGAGGACCTAGGTAAGCCTTGGTCCATTGGTTTTTGTATGTTTCATCTTAAAACCTTACTCTCGTAGTGGTGTCAGTGGGATTGTCCACCAGCGCAAGGCCTCTACAGGGCTGTGTCTTTTAGAATGGCCTTGAAAGGGAGGCCAAAAAGGAATGCCATCATGGTTATGTCAGAACCAGAACTTAAAAAACGGGCTTTTTTTTGTGGTTCCTTCTTTCCTTCTTTCCTTATTCCTTTCTTCCTTTCTTCCTTTCTTCCTTTCTTCCTTTCTTCCTTTCTTCCTTTCTTTATTTCTTCCTTTCTTCCTTTCTTTCTTTCTTTCTTTCTTGCTTTCTCTTCTTTTTTTCCCGAAAGCATGGCGAAGGGTTCTTCCGCTGGGTTCACTTGAGTTGTTCTCATGAGAGTCATTACAAGGTGTCATTGCAAGGAATCATCATCATGAAAGTCATTGCAAGGAGTCATTGCAAGGAGTCATTGCAAGGAGTCATTGCAAGGAATCATCATCATGAAAGTCATTTCAAGGAGTCATTGCAAGGAGTCATTGCAAGGAGTCATTGCAAGGAGTCATTGCAAGGAGTCATTGCAAGGAGTCATTGCAAGGAGTCATTGCAAGGAGTCATTGCAAGGAGTCATTGCAAGGAGTCATTGCAAGGAGTCATTGCAAGGAGTCATTGCAAGGAGTCATTGCAAGGAGTCATTGCAAGGAGTCATTGCAAGGAGTCATTGCAAGGAGTCATGGCAAGGATTGCAACTTGCACTTGACTCCTTGCACTTGCAACTTGCACTTGACTCCATGCACTTGCAACTTGCACTTGACTCCATGCACTTGGCTCCTTGCACTTGGCTCCTTGCACTTGCCTCCTTGCACTTGCAACTTGCACTTAACTCCGTGCACTTGCGACTTGCACTTGACTCCATGCACTTGGCTCCTTGCAACTTGCAATGCAATGACTCCTTGCAATGACTCCTTGCAATGACTCCTTGCAATGACTCCTTGCAATGACTCCTTGCAATGACTCCTTGCCATGACTGCTTGCAATGAATTCTTGCCATGACTCCTTGCAATGACTCTTTGCAATGACTCCTTGCAATGACTCCTTGCAATGACTCCTTGAAACAAGCAAGGAGTGCAAGTGCAAGTTGCAAGTGCAAGGAGTCAAGTGCAATTGACTTGCGAGGAGTTAAAATCTCTTCTTAGGGCGGCGGGGTAGTGCCGACGACACTACACGAAAATCGACCCTCTGCGGGGATCGGCGTGGTCGAGGTGCAAAAACTCGAGGTTTTTTGCGATGTTTAACCTGCTCGCGCGACCCTCTGCGGGGATCGGCGTGGTCGAGGTGCAAAAACCCATGGTTTTTTGCGATTTCTGCGGTGCTCGCGCAACCCTCTGCGGGGATCGGCGTGGTCGAGGTGCAAAAACTCGAGGTTTTTTGCGATTTCTAAAGTTCCCGCGCGACCCTCTGCGGGAATCGGCGTGGTCGAGGTGCAAAAACCCATGGTTTTTTGCGATGTTTAACCTGCTCGCGCGACCCTCTGCGGGGATCGGCGTGGTCGAGGTGCAAAAACTCGAGGTTTTTTTGCGATTTCTGCGGTGCTCGCGCAACCCTCTGCGGGGATCGGCGTGGTCGAGGTGCAAAAACTCGAGGTTTTTTGCGACTTTTGTTGTTCGAACTGGTCCTCGGGAGTTGTCTCGTGGTTCGCGCGCCTGCTCCCGGAACCGGCGGGTCGCGGGTTCGATTCCTCCCTGGTCCGCGGGCGGGCGTCGCAAGATGCAACTTGCATTTTAAAGCAACTTGCGCAGAGCAACTTGCGCAGAGCAAGTTGCACAGAGCAACTTGCGCAGACCAACTTGCACCGACCAGTTTGCGCAGAGCGCCTTGCCTAGAGCAACTTGCGCAGAGCAACTTACGCAGAGCAACTTGCACAGAGCAACTTGCACAGAGCAGCTTGCACAGAGCAACTTGCAGGGAGCGCAATTTGCACAGAGCAACTTGCAGGGAGCCACTTGCAGGGACCAACTTGCCGGAGCAACTTGCGCGGAGCAACTTGCGCAGAGCAACTTGCACAGTGCAACTTGCGTAGAGCAACTTGCGCAGACCAACTTGCACCGACCAGTTTGCGCAGAGCACCTTGCCTGGTGCTGTCTCGCGCTTGCTTCACAAATGCTTCGTGTAGGGAAAAAGAACGCATCCTGCAGCGTTGGGCCGACCTCGCTTGCGATGTTCTGCTTTCGGGCCAACCGTGGTCTAGTTTGGGGGGGGGTTCCCCTAAGAGAACGCACACACAGAAACAACCCATCTCCATCGAGCAACGCCCAGCAACCTGGAGCAGAGCGTTCTGGGTGATCCAGCGCGGGTCAAAATCCAAATCGGTTAGCCCCCAGTGAACATCCGATTCAATCCCCACTAAAATCGGTTCTAAAATGGGTGGTGAATTCACCTACCCCAAAATGGTACCATTGGTTTTGACCCACCAGCCAAATTATGGAGCCAGACGCACGAGGCCTCTTTCTTTTTGCTTAAACGAAATGGTTCCACGTGGCTGTAGCTCAAAAAGATGTGCCAAAATGGCACCTTGGTAAATGGAACCAAAGACTCACACCTGCGGTCTGCCCTAGCTCTTGAGTTTTGAGCCGCACCCATATTTGCTGGAAGTTCAAAACCTTCTGGGGGAGGAATAACTCTGGAACGTCTGCAAAACACCATCTTTTGCCCTTGACCAAATTCAGAACAGCTAAAAGGACAGACATTTGCTATGCCCAGGAAGTAAGAATGTTGGCCAAGAGCTGGTTGTTCGTTTGTTGGTTTGGTGGGGATGGTTACTTAGTTGGGCTTTTGGTGGTTGTTTGGCTGTTGGTCCCAGAAGGGTCCCTTGGTCCCTTGGTACCTTGGAAGATACCAGACACACCCTTTGGGAATAACAGCCAAACAACCAACAAAGGGCCAACAAAGAAACCACCCCCGCCAAGCCAACAATCGAATAACTCAGGGGTACCTTCTTCTTTCCAGGGATCCTTCTTTTCAGGAAACCCATCAAAAATTCGGGGGAAACGGAACCGGTTTTTGAAAAGAACGATGGTTGAAAATCATGGGAAGAGGAATCAACCCCTAGAACAACCAGTCAGGGCTCCACTTTTTGATTGCCCCAAAGTCGACTTAAACCCGTCCTTTCGGGGGAAATGAACCACTTGGTTTAAGTCTACCTTGAGATTGAAAAGCGGAGCCCTACCAGTTTTAAGGGACCCCTACCCTACAGGAGGGGAACTCTCCACCTGGGAACTCGCTCTTCGCCTGCGAGGCTCCGGCCGCTGGCGCTGCCGGATGTGCGCCGCGCCCGGCGCCAGCTGCGAGGCCGTCGGGTGGCTTGGGCGTGGGAAACGAAAGGACTTGGCAACCAACCTGGGGTAGACTTAGGATACATGTTTTACATTTTACCGGTGACTCAAAGTGAAGCAAGCAATAAAATATACATTCTATAACTGGGCCCAACCCGAATCATGCAACATGGAGCCCTGGTTTAAAACAAAAAGGAAAGGAAAACACAAAACGGGAATGAATCAAACCTGCGGTGGCTCTTATTTGCTTTTGCCAGAAACTATAAGACAACTGGCAATTTTCTTGTTATTGTCCAGAGGACTTATCAGCAAATGGAGGAATATCATACCCTGGTGGCTGCCGTTTGGTTCCATGGGGTGGTTTGTTGCACCCAGCTGAGCCCATGGTGAAGGGGACGGTTTCAAATCCAAGTCTTCGCTCCCAAGAAACCTTAAATTTGTCGGGGGGAAAGGTGAACCCTCAACTCAGGGAGACTGAAAAGCTTTTGGGAATCGCTTGGGTTCCATGTCAGGGTTCGGTCGAAAGGTCCAGTCGATTTGCTCCTTTTGGGAGGGACATGCTCCAGGAACCACGCCATTTTTCACATTCACAAGGGAGTTGCACTGTTATTCTAGAAATTGACCAACCAAAGAGGATCTCAAGAAGTTCATTGCGGCACACACAATCCTCTGGCAGAGAAGTCACAACATTGCGCTTGAAATGGTGGCTTAATAGGGACGCCCCCGAAAACGATTTCGCGCACTGAAAATGGGCCCCAGTAAGAGCCCACTAGGAGGGAGCTTTTGTTGTTGTTTTGGTAGTGTTCAGAGGCCCAACAGGGATCTCGGGAACCAACCGCGATCCAGGAGTTTCGGCTCCAGATAGCAAAACACATGGCAACATGGCGACCATGGTATGCATCCAAGGCCCCAAATGTGTCAAACATGCTCCTCAAAGCGGGTGGTGTCCAAATAGGGATGGGGCCCCAAATGGCATCGGCTTTCCTTTGGTTTCCCCGATTCCCCGAAATAAATTAAGGTGAGAGGGGGGGACGGAGCCTCAACGAGCCACACAAGCAGCAGCATCCGAACAAAGAAGCATAAGGCATGCCTTCGGACGAACCAAATCCGCGACCTGACAAAACTGTCATAAGGGGCTGGCTAGTTTACACATACCTAGATCTTCTTTGAGAACAATTTCCCAACATTTTCCTTAAAAAGCAAAAAAAACGCGCATTGTTGGAAAACACGCTCATTTACCCAAAAAACACACATTTCGGTTCGACCAGCCATGTTCAAAACAAGTTGGTTTTGGGCTTTCCGCCGATTTCCGCGCATTTTCCGCCGATTTCCGCGCATTTTCCGCCGATTTCCGCGCATTTTCCGCCGATTTCCGCGCATTTCTGGTGGCCAAATTTGCTGGATTTGCCACAAAATGGGTGCGGAACATGAAATTTGCAGTTTCCGCGTAGATTTCGGAAATTCCGCTCAATTGGCAAAATGAGCAAAAATAACGTAATGAGCAAAAAAAATGTTCCTTTTTGAGGGTCCAGGTATGTCTCCCATCATAACTCAAGCTTATTTTTTTGAGTACCCTCACACTTTTGGGAAGATCATTGTAGTAATAGAATTCAAAAAAGAACAAGGTCAGACCTCGCTGGGAACTCTGAGCCCAAACCAATCCTTGAAGCCTAACCCCCTGCCTACCATAGAGCCTAACCAAATTAGCCAAAGGGATCTACACGCAGCCCCATTCAGACTCACCCTCGTTCACAAGCGAAGCACCTGCGAGGGCTTTGCGAATGACTCGGTTCATCACAGCTTCGGGCAAACATGGCAAGGAGAGAGGAGTTATGTTCTTTTTGTTTTCCGGAGCCATGTTGGCGAATTCCATTTGGGGTGGTGTGTTGGACATGTAGTTGACTCCCCCCAGCCATGGAGTACTGCTTCGGGCTTTTCTGCGCTTTCTGCGCGTCGATTGCTTTCGGCGTGCAGTATGCGCCGGCTGGGATGCTTAGAGAGCGGAGCCATGAGTCTCAATGACCATGCATTTCCTTAAGAGTTTTTTTTTTGTGTGTGTGTGTTTTTCCCCTTGCTGGTTCTAAAGGGAATCTATCACTACGACTGGATTTATTATTGTTTTTTCCAGGCCTTCAGCAAAAGGAAGTGACTCGAGAGCAAAGAGAGGGACAATGACCTTGGCAGACATGTGGCTGTGGGTCAAGCATAGGGTAACCCAAAAATGGGTTGCCCTGGTAAGAGGAAACACGGACCAAACTATTTGCGGTCCATATCCTGGTGGTTCTATTTTGACCCACAGCCACGTCGGGGGTCCAGCTCATCGCCGTTTCTTGTTTGTAGCCTTTGACCTCCCGGACAGGAAAGCGGCATCGCCAAAACCCGGGGAAGCTGTAGAACTTAACCCACGGGTGCTGCAACCCCCTGAATCAAAACATCAGCCAGACAGCATGTTGCCATTGCTTGGTGGCTCCCAGCCAACCCCTTAGCTTTTTAGTTTCCGTATTTAACCCACAAAAAGTTAGTCACTTTTTTTGGGGGGGATCTGAAACGGGCAGCTCAGTTTGGATGGTTGGATATTCTCACAGTGCCATGGAAACAAGGAGCTCTTGAAAGACGATGTTCCACCAAGCCAAACCACCAATCCGGGGCAAGGTGTTTGACCTTCTTGGCCACGAGCGACTCCAAGCGACAGGTTCTGGTGAGCAGACTTGTTTCGCTTGGCTCAGGTGAAGAAGTACCTGTGGAAATGGTGTTTGACCAAATCCCCGACAGAAGCACCAGTTGATATGTTGTTTAATCCCAGTATTCATGCGCGTTGTTTTTCATCTGAACTGGTGCGAACTGGTTTTTGCCCATCCACAGTATGTGGGTGTTGTGTTGCTTTTTTGTTGCCTTTTGTTTTTTCTTCTCGAATATCATGAAGCCACGGGAAATGCCCCATTTAGTCGGGGAGGATTCCCTCATTTGGAGACAAACCCATATATGATTGAGTTGTTTGCGTGTTTGTTTTTTTGCTCGCTTTTTGTTTGCTTGCTTGTGTTTTTCAATTCAGTTTCTGCAGACCGTTCGGTTCTTTGCCAGCGTTGGGACAAACTCCTTTGGTACCGGAGCAGCGCCCAAAGCCAAGGTTGACCCCGGATTGAGCTCATAATAATAGGGCGGTGTTCGCCTCCAAAAGCAATGATTTCCCACTTAGCAACTATTAATCCACTGGGGTTGATATATCGGTGGTCAACATGATCTTGCACTTGCATGTTGTAGGTGGTTCTTCTGCCTATAACCATGCAGAACGAAAACACAGAGTTTTCGCTCAGGTTTTGACGACTCGTTCCTCCCAGTTGCCCGTGTCAATCAGCAAAAATGGTTGACCTTTCTTCTTAGTTTTTCCATAGCAAGTCGACCTTGAAACGTTTTTGATTCCCCTGTGTTGGTCCATATTTAGTTGCCCAGTGGGTTGCTTCCTTTGTTCATTTTTTTTGTGGGAAGGGTTCCCCTTTAAAGTCAACCAGGCAAAAAAGGATGCCCGTTTTTCCCATGGCCACTGAGCATCTGAGTCCATAGTTAGTCATTTTTGCCACAAGGTGATCACCTTTTGTTTCCAGTTGCCCTTTGAGTGTTTGTCTCTGGCCAAGTGTTGGTGACTGCGAAGTTAGGTGAAGAAGTATGAGATCTACGATGGCATCACCTTCCAGTGGTTCATGTGCTCTGGGATCCTCATGGTCGGATTTCTGTCCTCCATCATCTTTCAGGATTTTGGCATGAAGGACGGGCGGAAACAAGGTGCGCTCACTCTCGGATAAAGCCGCAAGAGCTGTTTGCAGGAAGTCAGAGATTAGCTAATATCTCTCCAGCTTGCAGGCTTTCCTTGGCCCCTCCTGGTCTTCGTACTTTTTGGGTGTGTTTTGTTCTGCCCTTAAATGTCAATGCCGATTGGATCCAGGCTGAGAATCGTAACCAAAGTTCCCAAAAAGTCGTCCAGGGTTCTAACACCTTTCAGGTCACAGGGCAGTTTCCTCGGGTGTTTCTTGGAAGTACCGCCAGAAAGCCCTGACGAAAGGCGAGAGCTTGCGGAGCTGCAAGATCCTTGGCCTTGGGCCATTGCCGTTCCAACGCCACAGCTCCCATCTGAATGAATATGGCTGTGGCTCAAAAACATGTACCAACATGGCACCTTGGTAAATGGAGCCAACAACTAAAGCCTGCGTAACCCTGGCTCTTTAATTTTGAGCCACACCCATTTGAATGGTCAAAAGACTGCTATCTGTGTTTTGCATCTCCAAACCTCAAGAGAAACGGGCGCTCACCTGAAATCCAGCTACCTGAACCATACAGATGAACCTGGACCTCCCCTTTTGGGTTCCGTTCGTGGCGCATCTGGCTTTTTTGGGAGGTTTTCTGATGCGAGGACCAGGAGTGCCTCTTGATCATCTTCGGGGGCGCACTGTGGGCGCCTCCGCGAGAACCATGGGGCGGTGTGTGTTTTGCTGTTTTTGTTCTGGCGGAAAGGAAAAACACTGATGCATCGTGTTGTTTGTTTGTTGTTGTTGTTTTTTTTGTTATGATGCCTCTTTATTTTTATCCTTTTTTCAGGAGACACACGCAGATGTGCCGTTTTGAGGAGATTTCAACTTACTTCGGGTTGGTGGGGAGGTAGGGATGGTCAACCTAAAACGGTTTTAAACAACCAATGTGAAGGGCTCCAAGGCAATTGTCAGATGTGCTTCCAGTTTACTATGGGTTGATTTCCCGGAGTTGCTTTGCTTAGCCCAGCAATTCAAGCGCGCAACAATCCACCCAGCGATTGCTAAGGGAATGGCAGCAGTTTCGGACAGACAAAACCAGAACCCTTAAGGCCTTTGGCGGAAACATTTGGGGGCAAGGGATGGGTGCAGTTCCCCCTTCGGCTCTAAAGAGGACCCCACCCAAACTGCAAGCAGTGAGACCCAATCCACTTGTGCGCAGTGCGCATGGTTCTATGAGGAAAACTATGAGCAGATGTGGTTCATAGAATTGACA